TATTGCTTCATGAGAGGTATTGTCAAATGTCAATCAAGTGATCTCTGGATGTTTTCGGTGAGCACGAAAAGGGCGGTTTCGGTTGATTTGCCCGCCCTATATGCATGCTGTCCTGGGTGCAAAGGCACCCTCTCCAGTATATCTCACATCTGATGTAGTTAACTACATTGTCTTCAGTAAGAAGGATGTGAGATGTGAGACAGATCGGTCTGAATTACTTCGGAAGGGTAGGGTCCTTCTTCCCTACTTTGGGGATGAAAGTCACGCGCGCTCTCGTGCAGCTGCTCGGTATATGTACCCGGACGCCAGACTGAGTTTGGCTGCCTTGATAATGAACGGCAGTAGTTCCTTATACCCTTTTTGTAAAAGGAACAAACTGAATGGACTGGAAAAAATTAAGAGGTATCGACGAAGCGAAAGCGAGCGAAAACAAGAAACAAATGACCACTAACCTGCAAATCAGATTCTTCTTCCTTTTCCCTTTGAAACATTTCCACGTCCGTACATAGACGTCCTCACTTTATCTTGCCACGCCGGGCTTTGGAGCCGGCTGTGATCTTGTTGGATGTTTGGAATATCTACACAATATCATGTCTTTTAGGAACACCACTTGTTAATCTTGCCAATTATCAATATTCAGCACATTTTTATTCTGAATGAATATTCCATGAATAATATTGCCAGAATATTCTTCAAAATATATAATAAGGTTATCCAATCGAATTATACATATACATCATTTCAAAATAAATTTTCCGAATAGACTATTGAGAATATTCACAAATTATTCTGAAAAACTATTCCTGAATTATTCTGAAAACATTCACATATTCCCGGAATATCCATAAAATAATGTTAGGAAATATCTATGGAATATTCCCTCATCAGGAGACTGCCATCTGGGATAACTACGAATAATATATCTGGAAATATATTAATATATTTTCACTGATCACACTGATATAACATGTTCACCATAATAGACAATGGGTTTGAATTGACTTTTGACAGTTGACAAGGTTATACTTTGCAGTAGAAAAAAAATATTATCCCCTTGTATCCTGATAACCACGATGGATAACATGTAAAAGCTACGTTATGAAGTGGTGAAACGAAAACGTTGCACAAATAATCCAGTCCAATAAGAAAAATCCAGTAGCTTGTCAGTGACAATTTGTTTGAAAAGATGTTTGAAGAAAAGAAATATAGATACCTATATTGAAAAAATATCGATTTTTACAACTTCCAAAGAGAAATATTTTGCATTTTCATGTTGAGAACGGAGATTCGGTCCCGAAACGTCCAAAATTCGATATTTTTTCAATATATATAATAATCTATATTTCTTTCCTTCAAACATTTTTTTTTATAGGCTCCCTTATAGAAAAATTTGTTGATCGCAGTGACATATTTTGGGGCAAATCATCTGATTTGTCCCACTATAAATATATTGAAATAATACGCATAATCTTATTTTATAGAAACGAGGAGAGAAAATCCCAGAAAATCAAGTAAAATGGAAAATTTTCTATGACACTTCATCATTTTTGCTAGAGCTAATGCTGGGATTCGGTAAGGACTTTTTTGCCACTTTTAATGGTGATTTGTCATTTTTGCTATATAGACAATTTTGGTTGGTAGGGACCTAATCCAAATGGGGATGGGCAGGTGCCGGAACCGAGTGTTTGCATATGTGGCCAGCAGAAAAACGAATGTAGGAGGGGCCCCGTCGACAGAATCACGCGAGTTGCCTCTACGGTATGTATGTCCGTATATGTCCATTCCAAGCCTGAGGATCTCGGATATTTTTGCGGCACACTGTGATGAATGACACACAGCTTCATACGTTTTGTTGGAGTGTATAAGCCAATCAGTGTTGTGTACATTTAAATCGCTCATAATGATTTCTACTGCTGGATGGTTCTGCTAAGTTAGGTCAAGAGCTTCAGGAACAAGTACTTGAAGATCTCTTATCGATGGATCATTTGGTGATGGGTAGAGACAACAAAGATATTTGGTATGTTTCTGGCTATCGACTTTGAACCAGATAACATCAAACTTAAGCCAATATTAATAAAATGATCGAATTTCAATGCTTAATAATTTAATTTTCGAAGTGATACATATGTGATACACCATTTTATGCCTTTGCCGTATTCCTCTCGTTTATAAATTCATGCTCTAGGGAGATTATAAGTGAATATATGAAAATCTTATATATATATGCCCAAATGTCAGATGAAACTGATACAACAGAAACCTGACTGCCCCTATCTGGAGTTCCTGTGAATGTACTTGACACTGCTGTTTTGACGTTTATTGTATTAGAGTACGGACACTAGACAAGCAGTGACAATCAAACATAACCACAAACGATTTTGAAGCAAATCATATGTTTTGCCAGACAAGGACAATTATATGTTTTTCGCTTGGATGCAGGATCCTCGCATCTTCCTTCCTCCACAAGTCCTGGGAAGAGTAGATATCCATATATCTTTCTCTGTCTTTGATTTTTGTATGAGAATTCATAGCGTCTCCTCGAGTGGGTAAAAGGGTACGATAAATTGATTTTAGAAAATTATTTATTCTCGAAATATTGAATGAGAAGGCTGAAGGACCTCAATGGAGGTTGATGATATCAAGTTGGTATGTACATATAACAACGAAATACATATAGGTACTATTTCTATGAAATAAGTCTCTTATGTAGGTATATATATATATATATATATATATATACGTTCGGAACAATTTCACTTGTACAAGAGTGGTAGGTAATAAGTAATTATTAAATGAACATGAATTATGCTCATATACAGCAACATTTTTACTAATATCATTCAATTTGTTATTCAAATTTCCCATTCGGTTTTTCAAATGCAAAAGATTTTCATAGTATTTTTCATCGAAACTATGAATTTTACTCAAAATTGCCTGGATATTTGCTTGCTTTGAAAATATTTGCTGATTTTGTTTCTAATCTGATATAATTATTAGGTAATAGTTCTGAAATTTGCTAACTCTGACTTTTATATCTAAATCTTTTTGCTTCAAATTATTTTTCAACTCTCTATTTTTTCTTCTATTTGTTTTTCTTTCAAAATATGTTCGAAATGAATTTCATCATCTGCAAGTTTTTCGTTTCTTGCTGGTTCTAAATTGTACTAAGGTTTTTTTTGATACTCGATCGCTCAGTTTCTAAATTTTGGGTTCGCCTCTTTCTCTCAAACGATCCAATTCTTCAACATAAAATCTTCCTTGTGTTGAAAAATGTTCTATACAGGGTGCCCGCTAAAAGGAGGTCAATCCATTAACCACATATTCCTTGAACAAAAACAATATATATATGAGTTTCTAAATATCATTTTTCATTTTAGCCCTTCATATTCGGTATACAGGGTGTCAAAGTTGGAAATTAAAAACTGTTTTTTTCTAATTACTCGCGTATTTGATAAGATGTTAATCTCAAAATTGGTACATTACTTCAGCACAAAGAGTTACATCGTGTGAGGAAAACAAAACAGAAAATAACTGTCAAATATTCAAGATACCCCCATATTTTGTTTGTACGTGCGCTAATGACTTCCTATCTATTTTCCTTCAAGTGTTCAATCATTTTTGAGTATTTTTTGTTTCCTGTAAAATTTCGATTGAATCATTTGTTTTTAAGATAATTCGAAAAGTACTGGTTATTGTTTGATGCCTATGCGGCTTAGGTATTCTCATAATGTTCACATACTCCTATTTATTTCGTCGAAATTGAAAGAGGGCGTATCTTTTTACGTACGAAAAGGTAAATATGGAAATACCGGGTGCTCGGAGCAAATGTACTAAAATAATTTTTACAAAAAAAAAAATTAAAAAGTGTAAAAATTATTTTAATACATTCGCTCTGAGCACCCGGTATTTCCATATTCACCTTTCCGTACGTAATAATAAGATACGCCCTCTTCCAATTTCGACGAAATAAATAGGAGTATGTGAACATTATGAGATTACCGTAAGCCGCAAGGCATCAAACAATATATAACCAGTACTTTTCGAATTATCTTAAAAACAAATAATTTTATCGGAATTTTACAAAAATCAAAAAATACTCAAAAATGATTGAACACATGAAGAAAAATAGATAGGAAGTCATTAGCGCACGTACAAAAAAAATATGGGGGTAAGTGTGTACTTGACCCCCAGTATTTTGAATATTTGACAGTTATTTTCTGTTTTGTTTTCCTCACACGATGTAACTCTTTGTGCTGAAGTAATGTACCTATTTTGAGATTATTATCTTATTAATTACGCGAGTAATTAGAAAAAAACAGTTTTTAATTTTCAACTTTGACACCCTGTATATCGAATAAGAAGGGCTAAAATGAAAAATGGTATTTAGAAACTAATATTATTTTTGTTCAAGGAATATATGGTTAATGGATTGACCTCCTTTTAGCGGACACCCTGTATATCCTACCAAGAAATTTGAATACCTCGCAAATTTTGTGGCCTGAACCTATATTCCATGCCGGCTGCATCATATTCTGTTTCCATTTTTGTAGAATTACTCTATCCGATGGAAATTCGAATAGAGTGAATTGATTTCCCGCAATTCTCTCAATTTGTCACACCTTTGAAATTTATGTCATGTACGTCCGTGTACTGCCAGTTCCCGCTTTTTCCATCAATTTATTTGTGGTTATGTCTGATTGTCAGTGCTTGTCATAGTGTCCATACTCTAATAAACAAAAAATGTCAAAACAGCAGTGTCAGTACATTTAGGAACTCTACCCCTATCTACAAGGGAGATGTATTAGAATATCCGCGAATAAAAACTATTAGTATAGGTAATCGATCATCATTGGCCCATCATTCAACATCACAAACTTCATAGGTAGGCATATTGCCAATTAAATAATGAACAATAACTGTTGTCTTCTGTGTGTTAGGCACATTGTGTGTTCATAGAGCATCGTGTCGACCTCCGATCCATAAATAAAAAGAGATGGTAATAATTTTTAATTATTATATAAATATATTAATCCGTATTATTTACAAATGTACAGATATGTATATATAAGTACATAAGCTTAATTCAAAGTTGACTGTTGATTGACAAGGGCCCACACATACGGAATGAAAAAGTCTTCAGGTTGGTCCTCTTCAACATACTTGAATTTGAGCTCAGGAAATTTCTGAAAATAATGAATAATCAATAAATAAGTATATGTACAGGGGATATATTTATATAATTCGAAATTTCCACCATTGATTATTCAACATAATATTGTTAGATTATTGCTGAAATTATTATTATTCCAAGAAAAAAAGTTAATAAATAATAAATATAATAGCTACGAACAAATGAGCTAGGTTGAAACGGGGGAAGACAAAATAGCGACAGCCAAACCAATGACAGGAAAATATAGCGACAGCCAAAACAGAGCAACACAAAATTATAATTCAGTAATTTTGTTCTCCATGTATTCTGAACATCTTATTCGTGATCCTCTTAAACAGCGTTTTAAGAAAACAATTGTGTCTTTTTCTATACGGACATATGATGTCCATATGACATCTATATCGATACTGGTGTCAATATAAACTTCATATTAAACGTATTGTTAATATAATTACATTATATCGACTTTCAAAATACCGATGAACCATGGATCATACCGGTGATAAATAAGTTCATAACCTATCCGAAAACGACAATTTCATTCACGGTTTTCGAGATATTGGGACTTTTATAAAAATAAATTGAATAAATTATTCTCATATTCCAAGCTAATAAAGAGTGTTTCATGTTCACTATCATTTTCGATTAATATACACTGAATATTAATTGTAACAATTACAGAAGGCAGGTCTTCGATAGCAGTCATTTACAGTCCCAAAAAATTATCCTCTGTTTCGGATCATTCATGATTTCCATTAATAAACTTCTTTAAACAAAATTTTTTTTAGACCCTAAATAATTGCTATCGAAAATCTGCCTTCTACGAATTTTACAACTACCATTAGTACTATTCAGAAAATTTATCGAAAGCAGGAATGACCATGAAACGCTCCTCATTTGCTTGGAACTTGGAAATAGGAATTCAATTACTTTTATAAAAGTTCCAATATCTTGAAAACCGTGATGTTTTTACTCAGGCCAAGTTGGGATTTTCTGTTAGGTAGGTTATATGAACTTGTTCATCATCAGCTGGAACGAAATAACAAAAATAGATTTTTTCTGTGACAGGAAAGAAGTTTAAAATTTTATCTATTGACAGGTTATAAAATGTCACTTTTTATGAATTGCGTTTTTCCCACGGGAAAATAGTGAGTACTTTTTTCTCGGATATATAATATATCACATATATATACTCTGTTGAGGCTTTTGTTGTGCTATAGTTCCGAAAAATTAGCCAATAACATCGTCTCCAAGAAAGAACTGCAAGTCCTTTTATCTTCCATTCGACTTCCCGGTTACGTAAATTACCTTCTAAACAACCACTAAATTCTCAATTTTTCAAAATAATGTAATATCTGCTCAATATTGATTTTTCCTTTTTCCTGTCACAGAAAAAAAAATAGTGTATTTTATATACAAGGGAAAAATATTAGATTTTAGCTCACGGTTTTTTATCTCCCGACAACATAACCTGGAGCTAAATTCTACAGATATTTTTCCTTGTATAATAAATAACTTTTTCAACCTATTTGATTTGCAATTGGAGACAGGGATGTCGAAATTGCTCACAAACTAGTGTGGTTGGGGATCATTTGCGAATGGAACGTTTGTTTTTAGTAAACAGATACAGGGTGATCAGAATTCTGAATCTAGAAGCACCCTGTATTCATTTTCATTTTTTTCATCAAAGTATGAGTAGATATTAAGGTTTTTAAAACATGCGCGAAATAGGGCAAGTACTTCAAAGACCAGTTATCCACGAATACTTTACACTAATTTTTCATTGGGAGACTTTGAGATCGTGAATATGGAAATATCAACTAATAATGTGAAATGGTTGAACATGTGTTAGTGATATTTTATTTGACTTTACATAGAACTCCTGTCAAATCGATAATTAAAACGTTGACGTTCAGACTTCACTTTTCTCGGTTCATTGATATTGCCGTGTTGCCGTGGTAACTTAATTAAAAAAACGCGCGAGGCATTCTTTAATCCTCTAGTGGTGACGTGGTTTTACGAAACATAAGTGGTGACGTCGGCCTGAGAGACATTAAGTTTTTTATGTGTTAAAAAAATATATACAATAAAAATAGAGTCAGTTTATATGATTCTGCTCGAAGGAAACATCATTGGAAATCAGATTATTAAAAAAATACAATTCGATTCAAGATCCTCTTCATCAGTCATAAATGTTTTCATTCATGGGATGTAGACATTTTCGTTGTTCTGCTACTAGTATGGATGATTTCTGTTAGAAATAATATTGTATTTGTATGAGAATATATATTATCTTCAATTGGATACGCTTAATTCCTCATAAAATGAATTGAAACAAGAAATATCTATATGGCACATTTGTTACCTCACTGGTGACGTCGGTGTGACGGTCCGAAAACAATAACCGTTTACAGTGCGTGAAAAATCAAAAAGGTGAAGCTAGAGGAAATAATTGGAGAGACCGCAGGTCACCACTGCTTCACCTGAAACGGTGTTGCTGACAAATATCGAATTGAAACAAATGAATTACTGACCGTATTCTGTACAGCACATATGTATATGTACAGGGTCATTCCGTATACTGAAACAGCTTCTATATAATTCATCATTGAAGATAAAAAAAACTTTAAAGGCAAAAGTTGTAGTGGTCGTTCTCCAAAAAGTTATACTATATGAAACACAGGAGCATCGATGATATAATAAATGTGTACCAACTTACCAACTTTTTCATTTTCTATCATACACCCTATATATTTTTCGAATAATTTGAAGATCTTTTCTCCTGATTTCGAATATATTATTATGTTGGTTACTGATATTTGGTTCAGCCGTCTACGAAATATTTGAGGTTGACCATTTTATATTTAGTAAAAAAAAATTATTTTATCGAATCGCAATTGCCATGAAATAAAAAAATGCACGCACCGTTGTTTTGTATTCATTTTCTGTAGTCTTGATACAATTCTTTTATCCAATGGCAAATGCAGGCGGAGTGATGATTATTCAATATGTTAATGTATGCCAAAATTCTACCTCTCAAATCAGCCAAATTTCTACTCCTTTTCTTATACACTTCATTCTCCAAATAGCCTCATAGTAAGATTTTGAAGGTCATTCCACTGTTCCAAATTATCCAATCCACATTTGCTAACGATCATTCAAGTGATGCCATATGGGCATGATGATGTGAATCGCCATCTTGATGCCAGATTAGGTCATTATACTGCCTGAGTGGGAGGTTTCCCAACAGATATTCAATTTCATTGTTTAATAAATACCGCAAATACTTATCACCTTCTAAAGTATCTCCATTGGAAATTGGTCCAATCACATGTATTTTTAAAATAACACACAAGGCATTGAGGGATTTGCGACCCTGATGCTGGATCTCTTCGTATCCATTTGGATTCAGAGTGGACCATACATGGGTGTTTCATCGATCTTTTCTCAGCATCATTTCTGTGCAATATTTTTGTTTTCCAATTTTATAATTGCCAGCTATTGAACTAGCATAATTTCAAATGGGTGGTATCCATGTTTATGTAGGAACTATGAGATTTTTTCAATACTTCGACCAAATGATTAGATGCATCCATCGTGAAATAACTGTGATTTTCTATGAACACAAATACTTCATGAGTATTTCGATCTTTGTTTTACCTTGGAAATAATAGTAGATTGTTTTATTGGGATCAAAAGTGACACTTTCTTTGACAGGCGAATTTTGCATTTGCGAGGCGGAGCGTCAAGCGAAGCCGGGCGAAAGCAAAATTTGCGAGTCAAACAAAGTCACTTTTGATCCGAATGAAACATGCTAATTTTTCTGCAACCGAAAGAATTAACTAAACCAAATATGTGAAGCATCACCAATGTGACCAACTTGACAGATTATTGTAATGCCTTTATTATGATGATATGAGTAAGTAGATAGAAGCAAGACCTCAGACTACTTTACTTTGTTACAATTTGTGCATTTAGAGATCAGGTTTATTCAATCTTCAAGGATGTTCGAATTGTAGTTTCAATATAAATACAACTACAGAGTGACCCATTCGTGTATTCCATTGAGTCCATGAATTCATTTGGAGCAGGTGTCAGCTCTCATAGCAAATACCGCGAAAAAGAAGTGGAAAATGTTAGGTCAGTAAGCATATCAACAAATATATTAGCAATTATTCATTTATCTTTATATTGCACAGTGTTTGGCTCGGTAATCAAATAAAGATGTACCGGGTGATTCATTAAGGGTAGCGAGGTACCATATCTCAGGAACTAGAAGTCGTACGAGGTTGAGAAAAAAATTCTATCGAGGAAATCGACCAAGGGAAATTGCTGGAAATAGTGTTTTAGTTTCTATATCTACCGCTGGAGGGAGTAATTGCTATGGTCGTATAAAAAATTGATTTTTCCAGCGAATTTTTCAACATGAGCTGAGGAACAGAAGCCATCACGCTAATGCTGTTAAAATAGTGCATCTTTTTGTTCCTACACTTCTTTTCGTACGATGTGAAATAAGGGCGGTAGACGAGGTTGAACCGTTCCTGACTAAAATACCTATACCTTTAATTTGACTGAACGGAATTCAGCAAACTTGGTATCGTTCGAGAGAGTAATGTTTGTTGATTGAATTGAAGGAACACCAGTGTCATGCTGGTTCCAGCTGCACTCACTAGGGGGCCTAATTAAAACATTTCTGAATTTTTTGATTTTACCCCAAAATTTTGAATGGAATGATATAATTATTTCATCAGTTTCGGAAAGTGAATGAAATTTGCAAGAAATTAATTCAAACCGCATGTTGATATCTTCATTCGTTTCAAAGTTATCGTCTAAAGAATATTTATTAATGAATTTATTGAAGAAACAATTCATTCTTCTATTTTTTAAATTTCCTTGGAAACGACCAGTTGTCATGAATTGTTCAATTTGTTTGTGACAGATAAACGCAATTATTTGTTCGAAGTAGCAATTTATATTCTTTGAAATATGCCGATCACGAATGAGGAAGCGTTTGATATGTTGGCTGTTTATTTCCAAAGTTTTCAAAATGCTGTTATTGCCGAAAGAGAATATGCATTCAGATATCCAGCAAGACCTCATCACTCAAGACTAGTTTTAAAAAGATTAGCGAGACGATTAAAGGATACTGGACAAATCCGTCCAGTCCCAGCTCGAAATAGATTACGTAGAGCAAGAAACGAAATAAATACTATAAATGTCATAGCCTATATTACTGCTCACCATCATTCAAGTATTCGAGATTTGGTAAGAGATCTAGGATTGTCGTCATATTCTTCAATCCAACGTATATTAAAAGATCACAAGTTTCATCCATACCATGTCATGTTACATCAAGAATTAAAACCTGCCGATTTCGACCATCGATTGAATTATTGTCAGTGGCTATTGGGGATGGTGAATGAAAACAGAAATTTTCTTTCGCAAATACTATGCAGTGACGAAGCCAGTTTTTCCAGTTCAGGAAAAGTTAATATACATAATATGCACTATTGGTCAGAAACGAATCCTCACTGGTTGAGGGAAGTTCAGTTCCAAAATCGATGGAGTGTCAATGTTTGGTGCGGAATTTTAGGTGAAAGAATTATTGGGCCATATTTTTTTGAACAGCCTTTAAATGGTGAACCTATCTTAGTTTTTTGGAACATGAGTTACCTATATTGTTGGAAGATGTACCGTACCTCTGGAGGACAGAATGAATATGTGGTTTCAACAGGATGGCTGCCCAGCACATTATTCACGCAATGTCCAACATTTTTTGAATATGCAGTTTCCAAATAAATGGATTGGTAGGAACAGCATATTTCCTTGGCCAGCAAGGTCTCCCGACCTCACGGTATTGGATTTTTATTTATGGGGTAAGATGAAAGATATAGTTTACAAAGACCGCCCATTAACGCCTGATGATATGAAAGAAAGAATTCGAGAAACCGTCAGAAATATTTCTGCTGCCGAAGTTCAAATGAGTGTGTTACACACAACTGAAAGACTCAATTTATGTGTGATCAATAACGGTGGACACTTTGAACATCTGTGAAATATCTGCTTCCTCGATAATTTTTTGAAAACAAGCATATTCCATAATTTTGATATTTTTTAAATTTTAGTTATGTTACCTGTTACATTATTGTATTATTAATATGGCATTATTATGAGATTGAAGTTTGCAACTGTCTTCTTTTATTTGTTCATGGCATGGCATGCTTGACCACGGAACTTTGGATGCTAATAGAAAAATTAATTATTTCTTCAATAAATTCATTAATAAATATTCTTTAGACGATAACTTTGAAACGAATGAAGATATCAACATGCGGTTTGAATTAATTTCTTGCAAATTTCATTCACATTCCGAAACTGATGAAATAATTATATCATTCCATTCAAAATTTTGGGGTAAAATCAGAAATGTTTTAATTAGGCCCCCTAGTGAGTGCAGCTGGAACCAGCATGACACTGGTGTTCCTTCAATTCAATCAACAAACATTACTCTCTCGAACGAGACCAAGGTATAGGTGTTTTAGTCAGGAAAGGTTCAACCTCGTCTACCGCCCTTATTTCACATCGTACGAAAAGAAGTGTAGGAACAAAAAGATGCACTATTTCAACAGCATTAGCGTGATAGCTTCTGTTCCTCAGCTCATGTTGAAAAATTCGCTGGAAAAATCAATTTTTTATACGACCATAGCAATTACGCCCTCCACCGGTAGATATAGAAACTAAAAAACTATTTCCAGCAATTTCCATTGGTCGATTTCCTCGATAGAATTTTTTTCTCAACCTCGTACGACTTCTAGTTCCTGTGATATGGTACCTCGCTACCCTTAATGAATCACCCGGTACAATATCGTTGTGTGAGACAAAAAAGTATTTATTGCTGGCCGTGAATATTCAAAAACAAGTTATCCAATGTATCAGATCCCGAGACTAACAAATGAAATACAGATCAAACAAGTATCTCGAAGGCTTTCCTGATCAGAAAAAAATACTCAACTATAATATGGTGAATATATATATCCAGCATGGGAATGAAATGTGGAAATGCCAAATCTGCCGAAATCGGAAACAAATCAGGTATGTGTCCCAACCCAAATAACTAACCGTAACAATGTTGTTAATTCTTGATGACCTATTACATCGTTTTAGCTTGAGTTCAACTTTAGCTCCTAGAAACTAAAAGTGTTGCCTAGCAACATACCTATGTTTGTGTCAGTAATAGAAATGTCAATTCAAGAGCTAATTATGGTATTGAAATGGACGACTTTTGTGTCGGTTGCAGAAAAAGTTATATTTTTGGTTCAACATCTTCATCGGCAATGAGTGCTTTTTTTTTCTCTGAAGATTTTTCTGATCTGTCATTCTCCACTCACTGAAATAAAACGTAGTTCTGGAAGGAACTAGTATTTCAGGATGAATGCGTTGATACTCCGCTAAAGCTTCCACTGCATTATTGCAATTTTTTAGGAATAAATGAATCAACTGAAATTTTTCATTATTCCTGATACTCATATATCTTCCAATGCTATGAACATAGGACAGAAAGTTTTATTGATGACAACCTGCGCACCTATGTGTTGTTGTTCAATGTTCAACCTCGAATATTTCGAAAACGACTGCACTAAATATCAATAGCCAATATATCGTTGAAATCAGTAAGAAAAGGATATTCAATGTTTTCGAAAAATTAACAGGATGTTCTATTGAAAATAACGAAGTTGGTATCCATTTCTCATATCAGAGATATTAATTTTTTTCATCTGGAATACCTTTCTGGAAGTTCAGGACAAACCCTAAAATTCTTGTATTGGAAGTTATTTTTTATCTTTAATGATGAATCTTGTATAAGCTGTTTATGTGTACGGAATTTGTTTTCATAGGACCAGAACCATACTTTGGGATCACCGCAAGTGCGGCCAAAACAACTATCTTGGACTGGGCGGAGCGGAAAAGACTCACGTACTGGTCTGAATTACCAGGATTAACCTATTCGAAGGCGTTTCTGCCTAAACCATCGAAAAACATAACCAGGCAGATTCTACAATGGAGCAGGGATAACCTGTTAATTCTGACAGGACTGCTTACGGGACACTGTCGTCTAAGAGACCACCTGGGAAGGATGGGTCTGAACCAACAAACGGACTGTCGGTTCTGCTGTGTGGAAGACGAAACACCTGAACACATATTATGTTCATGCTCTTGCTTAGGGAGACTGAGGTTCGACAAGTTTGGCCTTACCAATTTAGAATCTACCGATTTCAGACAACTAATTCAACCATGGACTTTGTAAACAGATGTGGATTGTACCGTAAACTGTAACCTCTAGGGGTGAGCCACAATAGACCCATCTGGGGTCGCAGTGAAGGGGCGGTATTCGCCCCACTCACATGGAACCTAACCTAACCCTAACCTAAGGCCCTGACGTGTCTCTGGATGTCAAAAAATCGCTCATCCTGAATATGCTGATCATTCACCATTTAATTCGAGAAAATCGCTCATCCTGATGATCCTGATCAGGATAATGGAAATAGTTATTTTTGTATCTAGAGCGCGAAATGCTACTTTGGTGATCGAGATGACCAAAGTATTTTGCGGTCGAGTTGCAAACAACATTTTTTCTACAAACGTCAAAAAAAAAGTTCTAAAATAAAAATATACTCAGCTTGATATTAAAAATAGTGTTGAACTGGCTTAAAAGGCCTCCCCCTATCCTCCCTAGGTACGCACGATGTTCCACGAACATAAGAGGAATTTCCTTTCGTGTGCTCCAAGAGATAAAACAAAGTTATTGTTGAACATTCAGAAATAAATGATTTTGTGGATGTTTGCTCGATTGAGGACCATAAAGTTGAATTATAAATATCTCATATATTTTACATAGCAATGCGCGAAGTAGGTACTTCGCGCATTGTTTTGTGCAAGGTATCTTGGTAACGTAGGAAACTGAAAAAAAGTGTCACTTAGCAATTTGTTATCAATGCGCGAACCTTGTCATTTTTTGACGATAGTAGAAAAAAACTATTTAATTATGCTATTGTGATCGGTCCTTGATGAGTAAGCAAAGTTTCAATTTATTTTGACGTTTTGAAGTAGGTCAAAATCCCATTCGAATATTCCGTTAATACAAAAATACATATCAAGCTAATAAGCGTGTTAAAAATAGAAACTTACCGTTAACCTCTCTCTGGGCCAACTTCTTGTTCCTTCCTGAACGACAAGCAGAACTCGCGGGGCATCCACTTCATGCTCTTTTGATTTATCGTGTAGTAATTGGGAAAAATACTGTATCACTGAATTGATATTTTGTACTATGTCTTGAAATACCACATCATTTTTGAGGGCATTAAACATGTGTTTATTGTACAACAAACTATAAATAAGGTTATAGTTATTTCCTATCTGCGCTATTAAACACGAATTCAAAATTTCCAATAACATTCTTATCACTTCTTCTAATACTGAAACATCCTGTTCAGCATCTGCTGCTTCTTGACTAGTGGTTAGATCAACTTTTGTTTCTTCTGGAGCATCTTTGTACTTTGGAAGAGTAGTCAGTCTGTGATACTTTTTCGTCAGCGATTCAAAAACGGATAATAACCGTTGACATACATACGGATGAAGATCTCTAAACTGGGATGACATATTGGCTAAGGCTGCTAGACAGTTTGTATGCAAATATTTATCTCTCATCTTCAACATGTTATATTGCACTGTTCTTATTAGTACTAATATAATAAGACCACCGAGCGAAATGTCTGTCAACGATTTTTCCACATACCAGTCAACACTTCTCAATTTCTGGAAACAAACAAACTGCATACAGTAAGAATCGTGAGAATAGAAAATTGGAAATATTGTTCAATATGGCGAAACAAAGATTAATCGACTGAACTGTATTTCCTTCAGTAACAATTGATGTGGCGACATATAGAGTGTAACTAAGATAAAGTTGTACAGCATGGGCTACTCGGAAACAGGAAGAGATACGAATTTGGTTAAATGGGAAAAAAGTTGTATATGCAGAGAGTCTTCGAGAATTTTCAAAATCATTTATAGTTTTTCCAGAAAAACTAAATACTCTTACAAAACTACTTTCAATGATATTCAACGTTGTTTTGATTTATCTAAGCGACGTTTTGTATTTGTGGAACCATTATAAACTTGTTTTTGTAAATACGGACTTGATTATGTATTTTGATTTAGAAATCTTCATTTATTCACAACCAATATATTATATAAAGTTGTTCAAATGTGTTGCAACTTTTTTAAGCCTTCATCAATGTTTTTCCGAAATTTCATAGATGAAATATCATTAGTTTTACTTATTTCTGATCATTCAGTGTCAAAAAATATCGATGGTGTAGTTATTTTATACTAAGAACTGAAAAAAAAGTTCCCTAAAATATTCAGCGTCATCGCTTCAAATTTCCTGAATTGCCTTAATAACTACACTTTGCCAACAGTAACAGTAACTGAAAGTAATAACATTCATAACAAATATTCAAAATGATGACCATTATTTTGTAAACGAAGATGTTCTCTTTCTACAATTGCTTCTGAGACATTTCTAAGCATTACTTAGTAACACGCACATTACCTTATTACCTATATAGCATAATATCGTATTGATCATTGATAAAGGACCCCGCACGAAAACACGGGAAATTGGCTCTCGGTCGAATTGGCTGAAATTTTACTATGTTGTTGTGGGATGGCTCATTAGAAAAATTTTTGAGTTTGAAAAGTTTTATATGTTTAGTTTCTGAGATATAAGCCGACAAAGTTCGTAAAAACGTCGTATCGGGGTAGGATTGACAAAGAAAAAAACAGTTTTTTTAGTATAAGACAAAATAAGCTAGAAAATGTATTGATCGGAACTCATGAACACGTCTAGTTATAATCACATGAATTATTATAGTAATCAGGGTGTATACGAGGCACGGTCAAAATATTCATTTTTCTGAAAAATAATTCGAGCACTATTCCAAAAGGAACAAGCTATATTTTGATGGGACATTATAGTTTTAGTCTATTATAGGCTTCGAAAACGTATTCCGATACTTTATAACTATCTCTGTTCGAAATATGAATTTTTAGAATTTTGTGTTATACCCATTTTTGAAAACAAATGACAGCTTGTTTTTTATCACAAAGAAAGGGATTGATTGATACTGTTGATTGAATGAAAGCTCAGGTAACTCACTAGCGAATTCAGTTGTTCATTATTGCCTTTCATTTAGATACAGGATGTGTTAGATTTTGTCGAAGATTATTTAACATGTTTCAACTGAATATCTCGAAAACAGTTCCGTTGATTTGGATCTCAATTTACTCACACTATTTTGAATATGTTGACTATCATATGCAAAAAGTTTCTCAATTCTTTATGTTTCGTTTCTGAGATATCAGTTTTTGAGTTTACAGTATTACAGGTATTATATAGGGTTATTTACCTCGGATATTACTATCGATTCAACAGAACTTCACGGAATCTTTCAATCATTCAATTACATTAAGAAACTATTAGAATTCAATAATTTTCTACTATAAACAACGTTAAGTTCGGTTGAATCGATAGTTATAGCCGAGGAAATGATTAACCCTATATAATACCTGTAATACTGTAAACTCAAAAATGTATATCTCAGAAACGAAACATAAAAAATTTAAAAACTGTTTGCATATGATAGTCAACATATTCAAGATAGTGTGAGTAAAATGAGATCGAAATTAACGGAACTGTTTTTGAGATATCCAATTGAAACATGTTGAATAATCTTCAACAAAATCTAAAACATCCTGTATCTGAATGAAAGGCAATATTGAACAACTGAATTCACTAGTGAGTTAACTCAGCTTTCATTCAATCAACAGTGTCAATCAATCCATTTCTTTGTGATTGAAAACAAGCTGTCAATTGTTTTCAAATAGGGGTATAACACAAAATTTTAAAGATTCATATTTCGAACAGAAATAGTTATCAAGAATCAAAATACGTTTTCGAAGCCTATTACAGACTAAAACTATAATGTCCCTCCAAAATATAGCTTGTTGGTTTTGGAATAGGTAGTGCTCGAATTTTTTTTTCGAAAAATGATTTTTTTGACCGTGCCTGGTATACACCTTGATTCACTATATTTTATGTGATCATAACCCGACATGTATTTGAGTTCCGATCAATATATTTTCTATCTTATTTTGTCTTATTTATACTAAAAAAACAGTTTTTTCCTCCGATTGGCAGCAAATATTGATTTTGCTGACACATATCGATCAGCAAAGTATTACTTTTCCTGCCTAGGCAGCAAAGTGGGTATTTTGCTGCCTAGGCAGCAAAGTGATTACTTTGCTGATTGATATGTATCAGCAAAATTAAAAATCCATAAATCGTTTATAATTTCCTTCATATTCTATTCGAGACTTCTCCGGCAACAAATTCAACTCTATATTTTTTGCCACCTCCCTAATTAATGGAGGTGTAAGTATACTTCCAGGTCGCTATCACTGTCCATTATATAATAATTTAAATATACCGATATTTTTTCGCACAACTGTCAGAAATTTCATGAATTGTCAAACCAACAACTGCGATTTCTATCAAATTTTATTTTAATTGAACACTATACAGGAAGAATAAAGAGATTGTGGGAATTGTATTAATTCGCAAATACAATATTCTCCCATATCATTATGAACAATCGGAGAAAAAATTAGATGTTCAACTCGGCAGCAAAGTAGATTGACTGCCTTAGCTGGATTCCTAGCCTCGCTACGCTCGGCTATGAATTCAGCCACGGCAGTCAATCTACTACTTTGCTGCCTAGTTAAACAAATAACTATTTCCTTTGTCAATCCTACCCCGATACGACGTTTTTACGAACTTTGTCGGCTTATATCTCAGAAACTAAACAAACAACACTTTTCAAACTCACATATTTTTTCAATGAGCCATCCCACAATAACATAGTAACATTTCAGCCAATTCGACCGAGAGCCAATTTCCCGTGTTTTCGTGCGGGGTCCTTTGAAAAGACGAATAATTTCATAATGACCTATTGAAAACCTATTGAAACCACAAAATTTCGATTTTTGCAAAATAGTGGGCGAGTGGGCAAAAATATGAAGAAAAAATTATATTCGTATTTTGCCGAAGGAACTTGTCATAATTAGATTTTTATGAACTAATTATCCTTATAATTCTATCAATTGGAATCAGTTGATAAGTTATTAGTGGGATGATTCATTCCTCTTTAAAATAAGTGAATCTGATAATAATTTTTTCTTGGAATTCCCAAAAAACAAGGTCGAAACACATTCAACCCACTTTGAATACACACATGTATAATACATGGTTATATTCAGACTGAAAGGAGGCTTTCAGAATCTGTGATGACATGATCAGGTCCGTAATTTAAAAAAAAAGAAGTTGATGATGGTTCTACGAATACGAAACGTCGAGAAAAATCAATATCACCACGTTGAATCTCACCAAAAGTTGCTATGGAAAAGTATACCTGTATCTGAATCTCCAATAATAACGTACAAAAATTGGAATAGATATTAAAAAAATTCACTTTCTCCGTTATAACTGGAAAACTAATTTCGAAAATGTTCGAAGGCTATTAGAACCGAATTCGTATCTCCTACCGTTTCCGAGATCCGCTTTATCTTGGTCATACAAAATATTTTTTTCAAAATATCTAAAATTTTGAAAAACTTGTTTGATGAAATTTCTTTACTTATATCAAAAATATACAGGGTGATGCAGAGATGAATAAAAATTTGGTAAGCGTTTTTTTCGGGTAGGAATGACGGATTCTACGATACCGAGTTTATATAATATATAGGGGCGAAAAACTCATGTATGAAAAAAGGGAATATTATATAAAAAAACATCCCCTATTATTCTTATTATCGAGTAACAACATGAGCTATTCGTCAGGTCATGATATTATGTGGAATGATATCAGAATATTTATGTGGATTGAAGAAATGATTATGATAACTGTCAAAAGCTGTTTGTCGATTGAGATATTTGGTTTATGGCGGACATTATTTGGTCGTATAATGGACCGTCATTGTCAATTGGATTTCCAATGTTGAAAAAAAAAGTTTATGTCCTTATATCGAAGACTGGAACCGTTGGCATGATAATAAACTACATTTTCACCACTAACTGAACCAATTTTTTATACGGCTCGACAGGTGACGCCAACTATGTTGGCATCTTCAGGAGAATATTAAAACTAAATATTATATTCTACTGTAGTACTTATAGACTAGGTGTATGTCCACCCAACCGTGAATGACACTTACCGCCAAGTTAATGTTAGTCATGGTTGAGTTTACATGTTAACCTTGGTCTTATACCACTAAACTATACAAAGGGATGAATGAGATTGGTCCATTATCCTTATTCATTACTCTATTACTATTCTTGAATATATATCTCTTAGCTTTTATAGGCATATAATTTCCTAACATTATTAACTTGCTTAACTAATTTGAGGTTATTGATCAATATCCTCAAATTAGTTGTATAATACATTTGAAATACATGTGTCTGTATCATATGAATAACATTTATTATTCAATTTTTAAAAGAGAACAAATAACTTCTCAGTCTGCTTTCCTATGGTCCTATTAATCATACTATAATGTACTTACCACATCATGAACGGTTTTATCAAAATCATCATCTTCGCTCAAAATGAGTAAAATTATAAGGGACATGTATATATGATGCGAATTGCTGTTGGGAGCATTGTATAGAGCTTTCAAAATTGGTAAAATCTGAAAAAAACATGCCTATAATTTTTCGAGTGCCTAGTCCATAACTTTGCACATTGAAGAAACATTTTAGCAAACTCACCAAATTATCCAAATCTAATCTTTGTAATACGAATGATTTGAAAGATATATTTTTATGCAATAGTGAATACAGTAGTAATGTTGCAGCATCACCAGATGCCTTTTTCCATATTGTCTTATATAAAGAATTGTAATCGACTTTAAATAATGTAGAAACGTTCTTTGGTGGCACTGGATTACTATCTGTAATAAAACAAAAATAGTGGGTAGTGTAGTATTGATAGGGGAAAAATTAAACGTAACCGTCTAGTCTTGTAAACAAAACTTTTATCGATTCGGATTATTATGTGGAAAAAATTATTGCTTCATTGGAATTGAATAAAGCTCTTCGGTAAGTTAATTTTTTGTTTGCGATATTCGGTTTCCGTGATGCCTTGTAGAAAGATTATACACACTCTAGATTGACAATGAGTGTGTAGAAATTGGTCTCCGTTGGGACGTAACACGGCGGCGGCTAATCGGCTCAGCTGATCAGTTGTACAAATGGTAATATCGGAGTCCGTGGAATCCACTGACAAAACTACATCTAGACCGCTAATGCCATAAGAAAGAAGGTAAGCCACTCTCGAGATCGAACTGTCATATTATATCTCATTCACTCTTACTCTTGTTTCCGACAAACAAGAAACATTACTCGCTGCCATGAACGACAGTTTGAGGGTTCCTGTGCATTGAGCAGAAGCAATTTCAGGCTAAATTGCTAGCCTACCCGGGTTTTTTAGGTTGCTGAGATATGACATATAGTGGTCTAGATAGTAGTTATATCAGTGGTGAAATCCACGGCGAATCAATGATGCCGAATTACTCACCGCTCTGTTACGTCCTAACTGAGCGTTATACATTCACAATTCACAACATTATAGTTCCTATCTAGAATATGTATAATACTAGCTGACCCAGCAAACGTTGTTTTGCCATAACATTATATCTAGAAAAAATGTTTTTACATAAATGTTTATCAAAGAACATTCATTATTTTATTTATACTTCTTTTTAGTTCGGCTATCTATGATTCTTTAGTTTTTCAAACTATTCTACTTATTCCCTACTTCTTTTTGGTTCGGCGCTATATCTCTTCATTTTTTCATTTATTTACTACTCACTTCTTTTTAGTTTGGCTATCTACAAAAACGTGTTTTGGATATTCATGAAATTGTGTTTCATTAGTATTTCAAACTACTATTTTTATTTTCTACTTCTTTTTAGTTCGACAATCTATCTCGTGTTTTAAACTTTACTATCAATTTTCTACTTCTATTTAGTTTGGCCTCGAGTTTGGCTATGTATAAAAGCGTGTTTCATTATAGTTTTTCAAGCTATATTATTTATTACAAAGCTCTTTCACCATATTGGATCCGCCATCTCGAATTTCCCAATTTTAAAGAATGAAATCATAATCTCCGACCCCGAAAACCCCCAGATACAGATTTTGAATAGAATCGGATCATAATTACAAAACTCGTCCGCCATATTGGATCCTCCATCTTTAATTCTCTAATTTTGATGAAAGAATCATAATCTCCGACCCAAAAATCACCCAGATACAATTTTGAATGGAATCGGATCATAGTTACAAAACTCGTACGCCATTTTGGATCCGCGGTCTTAAATTTCCAAATTTTGACAAAAGAATCCTTATCTCCGACCCCAAAAACCACCCGATACCAATTTTGAATAGAATCTGACCATAATCACAAAACTCGTCCGCCATAGTGGATCCGCCATTTTGAATTTCCCCATCTTGACAAATGATTCATATCTCCGACCTCTGAAACCTCCAGATACCAATTTTGAATAGAATCTGACCAAAATCACAAAACTCGCCCGCCATATTGGGTCCGCAATTTTGAATCTTCAAATGCTGCCGAACGAATTATAATCTCCGACCCCGAAAACCCTCAGATACCAATTTTGGATATAATTGGATCATAATTACAAAACTCGTCCGCCATATTGGATCCGCCATTTCGAATTTTTCAATTTTTGATGAAAAATCATAATCTCTGACCTCGAAAACCCCCAGATACCAATTTTGAATGGAATCTAACTATAATAACAAAACTCGTCCGCCATATTGGGTTCGCCATTTTGAATTTCCTAATGTTGATGAAGAAATCATAATCTCCAACCTCGAAAACCTCCAGATACCAATTTTGAATGGAATCTGACCATAATTACAAAACTCGTCCGTCATATTGGATCCGCCATCTTGAATTTCCAATATTCGACGAAAGAATCGTAATCTCCGACCCTGAAAACCCCCAAATACCAATTTTGAATCAAATCCATCTTGAATTTTTGATTTAAAAAATAGATTACAACCGATTCTCATACCTACCGAATACGCACAAAAAATTTCATACGAATTGGTCGAGCCTTTTCGGAGGAGTTCGACCACTAACACCGTGACCTGGATAGGAGAATTTTATATATTAGATTTGCCTTACATAAGAAATTGTAATCGTTTTTGAATAATGAAGGCACATTGTGGAGCATCGTTTTTATTAATATTGTCTGTAGATTAATCGAGGAAGTGAAATATTCATTTCTCTGAATTTTTTGGATTTTATCTTCTCATCTCTATGAATAAATATATTAGTATTATTTCAATATATTTGTAGCCAGTACAAATCAGGTGATTTGCTACAAAATGTCAGTGCGTTTGAAAAAATAAATCGAAGAATATAGATACACTGAGAAAAATAAAATGTCACTTATCTTTGGACGTTTTGGGAACGAGACTACTCCCGTTTTCAACATAAAAATGGAAATCAATATTAGCGATTTGCCTTAGTTTTTCACTACTAACATCTGAGTATGAAAATGATGAATTCAAGATCAATCATTAAAATCATATCGTGACTATCTGTCACTGAGAAAAAAAGAAAAACAAAGACAACTTGCAAAGGATATTATTTCCATTTTTATGTCAAAATCTATATAATTCCTCAAACAAGGTGTCATAAACTATCGACTGAATTTCTTATTTGAGTTTCTTATAGTGAAATATCAAGCGCAATGACAATTTGAGACGAATTTTTTATCCTTTGGAGCGCACGAAAGGGAATCCATATAATGTTTGAAGAACATCGTGCGTGCCTTGGGAGGATAGGGACAGAAGATAGGTATTGTAATTTTTTATTGAAGTTCGACTAATTTCAAGGTTGACAACGCAAGGATGTGCTGACTGGGCTTGTCGAGTTTGTCTGACGGGTATTGCTAGTGATGGAATGATAGCAGAGGTTTCTAAAGAACATCTCTAGTGGAAGTATCTATAGAAAGGTGGAATCGCCGACTTTTCTACGGTGTTCCAATGATGTCAAAGAATTAGTGATCGTGGCATCACCTACAAGACGAACGACTCTTCTCTGGATGGAATCTAAGAGCATCAGCGTATGTTTGGGTGCTGAACCCCATTTGTGAGAACCGTATTCTAGAACAGGTCGTATCTGTGATCAAATCATAAGAAGCTGTTGAGGTGTAAAGTAGCTTTTCGCACGGAATAAAAATCCGAGTTTTTGTGAAGCAGCTGTCACGATCGATCTGACACGGTTTTTTCATGAAAGATTATTGCTGATGGAGATACCGAGCACAGATATAGTGAACTTGGTGGAAATTATGGTATCAGACTGTAGTGATGGAGACTGGGCATCAATAATACAAATATGAAACTGTACTTGTGGTTTATTAATAAATCCAAATTGCCATTGCAACTTGCAACAAATTCCACTTACAAAATTAGTTAGTCCCGACAGTGACTATGTTTCCGACGTCCGGGAACATACTCGAAAATCCACAATGGTTTGATTACCAGCATCCGTATACATAACAATGGATATCAAACTAAAACCCATTACACAGGATACTACACAGACATGATATATCAGGCAAAATGAGTTCCGCCTTTCTAGAGAAAATACAGGCTTGAGTTTTGGTGGCGTTGAATTCAACCAGGTTGTTGGTTCCCAGGGCTGTAATTTCCGCAAGATCTTCATTGATAGGGTTAACCTGCCCCTTTTATTTCCAAAAATTTAGTGAAAAGTTGATTGTTTTGTTAGGATCCAAATCCAAAATCGCATTTTTTTTTCACAAAAGCTACGTTCCACTTCGGTTTGCAAACGTTGAAGCCACCATTTTCAATCAGAAACCGAATTTCTTTAGAACCGAAAGCTCCGTATTGGAATTCGATCGGATAGAAACGAAGTGGCATTTTCTGATACCAGCGGAAGCTGAATCAGCATTGCTAGGCAACACTTCAATTTCCTTTGATTGAAATTGGTTTCATGTCCTAGGACTTGAAACTTCAGTCAGATTTTCTGTATTATCACTTCAAATGCAGTTGTTGAAAAGGAATATTCTCAGATAAATTATGAACGATGGAAACTTGTGATTTTTATCGACCTCTAATCGCAGATTCGTGATAGAGTCTCAATTCAGAATTTCTTTCCACGCCCTGTGGATTTCGAGAATTGCATGAGATCTTTAATAATCGTGTTGTGAAAAAATACAGCTGAGTAGGAAAATGATTTTCTGAACATGGCTGACGAATGACGAGGGATGTGAAGGTTTTCGTTAGTTCGAAGGTTGAAAGAATGGAGCTCTAACCTCTTTGTCAATTTATTGAATAGTGGTACAGGTTTCTTCGATTTCAATACTGAATAAGTGATGTTGCAGTAGTTATATTCCCTGAGAACGGACATTGATACCCAACCAAGGTTGGTACGAGCTTGAGAAATGTGTTCAAATTTACGTATCCCTAAGATGAAGCGAACACATGAATTTTGCACACGTGGTATTTTAAATTGAATAGCCGAATCCAAGAAGGGACCATAGACAGGGTCTCCATAATTGATGGTTGAAAGAATAAGCGATTGGGAAAGAAGCTTTTTTTGTACTAGAGGACAAGCTTTGTCTATGTGGATAGAGAAATTTGAGAGTGGCATAGGATTTATTCACAAGTTGTTTTACATGTGCATTAAATTTTAAATCTTCGTCGAAAGTGATGCCTAAAGTTTTTACAGAGTCAACCGATTTAAGTATTTGTTCACCTATCTTTAGTTTCATAATTATGATCTTCAACATATTGTCTTTTGTTTATGTTGCCGAAGAACATGACATGGCATTTGCCAGGATTCAACTTCAAATCGTGTTTGTTCGACAGAGTATTTATAAAGATATTATTAGATGCGATACTATGATATAACTGCGTGTCATCCGCAAATGCTTGTACCCGGCAATGTTTAATTTGAGAAAAAATATCTGCAGTGTATAACAAAAATAGAAGAGGACCAAGAATTGAGCCTTGAGGTACTCCTGACATAACACTTTTAAGAGATGAACTCCTATCATCTACATGTACCATTTGATATCTGTTGTTCAAATAATTATACAAAATATTCATGACATTGGCTGAACATCCGTAATATTTAAGCTTGGAAAGAAGGAGTTGGTGGCTAATGGTATCGAACGTCTTAGAAAAATCTGATAACACTAGAGCGGTGACGTTTTTTTTATCAATATTGGCTCCAATGCTATCAGTATAGTTGTTATGTTAATTAGGTGATCATCGGTATTTTTCATGATATAAACATTAACAACGTCTTCTTCTGCTATTTTTTTCATTCGTTTTTTATTCGTTAGCATTTGCTACATATATTCTTCATCAACTAAATTAAGACTAGATTAAGAATGTTAGTCAAAGTTTGCCGCCTCAAAAATTGGAAATTGCGTTAGTTTAGTAGTTCAGAATTTATTTAATGAAAATTCATCTGAAGGAAACTTTCCTTTTGAGTATTTCTGGTATCTTTGACAAATAAGCCTAACACATTCATCTGAAGAAATCATAGCACCTACCTTGACTATCTAGGCAGGAAAATAAGCTATTTCTGTATGGATTTGGATGGGTAGTAAAATGATGGACAAGTACTAGTAATAATAATAAGCTTTGTGTAGCTAGAGGGGCTTCCATAAAATCATTCTGATTTCTAATCACAAGTTCATCTGTTGGTGTTTTACTGAATGTCAACATAGACCAAATATTTGAAGCCAAACCTAGAAAAAAAATGTGGATGAATACAATGAAGGTAATGAAAATTCTGGTGAAAAAAGAGAAATTTGTTTCCTCAAAATTCTCCTATACCTTCTTGATTACCTACTCAAATAAATGCTATGGCATTTGACATGTTCACATAAAAGTGCCTAGAACATTTTTATCATCAATATTGACGTCAAAGTCCACATTTATAATTCAGATATAATTTATTATATAGTATTCAATAGGATTGAAATAATTTTTAGATAAAGAAGAAACATACAGAGAATACCAGGAAACATATAAATATAAAGTCTTTACAAAGTCAGTGGAGACCTCGATTGAGACACTTCCGTTTTTAAAGATGATACGAGGATTCCTTAATAAAAGAAATATTTTCTATTGAGCTTTCCCGGTATGCAGTCAGCGTGGACTGGACAAGTGCTGTCATGTAGGAGAAGACGCATCTGATTGGTTACTCCCAATTATACTAATTGTTGATTGGTTTTTACTGGGCGTTCCGTATGTTCAAACTTTTTGAGGCAGTGTGGTACAGTAATACATTTGAACAAGGTTTTTTTATGGTTCTATTCGAGATTCAAAAAATGTATTATTTCAATCATAGTGTAAAAAAAATTGTTCTAAAATTGTTCTATCCGTCATTCGGTTGCCCCCTTACGAGCAACCCTCAGAAGTCTTCTAGAGTCTTGTGCAAGCAAGGAATGACGGGGGCCTTACATTTTAATGTTAATAATAAGGTTTCGAGTCAAAACAACCTGTATATCAATATTTTAAAATCTCATTAACAAATTTGAAAAGAGCAGAAAAAAATAAGTGAGATTGAATGTATTTGGTGTTTCCGCATTCAAATGTTTCAACTATTAACTTGACTTGATACACCAACCAATCAATTGTTTGAAATAACAAATACGTATTCTTTAGATGAAATATATAGAATTGAAACTCTTAAAATATCATAAATAAAAAATTGAAGTCGAATTTTATTCTGATACGGAATTCTGAAATTCATAATCATGAAACTAGACAATATAACTTGTTTCATCTTGACGCCGCTAGCTCCATAATCGGACAAAAAAGATTCACTCATTCAGCCTTAACTGAATTCAATAAACTACCTGACAATATAAAAAATTGCAGAAATATAGGTACATTCAAAAATGAAGTGAAAAAACTGATTATTTCTGAGCGAACTGGATAAAATTAATCATGCCATTTTTTTACAAATATTATTCTTTGTTTGTCAATTTACAGCTGTTGATATATTTTGAATAATGATATGTTTACCTATAGGTATATAATTATGTACTTCCTTATACCAGAGCCTTCTGTCTGGAAGTTATTTGTTCAATAAATAAATGAATTTCAAACAAAAATGTGGCAAGAAATTGTATTGAGTTAAATTCATGGAAATACAACATATTCATTATTATGAAATTTGTGTGTCATTGAGTAAGAAATTGATGTTATCAACGAATAACGTTACAACACAAAACACAAGACAAATTACAAACTCATCAACTAACGTCAAAATTGTACTCCAACATCAGCCAACTTGACAATTACACCGATTTGGGATATCAAACCCAAAGTGTATGACAGATTGCTTTATTTCATTAGTTTCATCAAGAATGCATCAGAAGAGTCAAGAAATGATCTTTCTCTAGCTAAAAAATAATTACATGCGGATAAAGGATATTCTATTTTCTTTATTTTCTGTTATGTTCAACCTTTAAAATGTAGATTTGTGGCAATGCTATTTTCATTTAAAACAATGTTATGATTTTTATGAAATGGGCCTTGTTCTTCTTTTTCATGATTGTTGTTCTGAATGTAGTGTGATAAACAAATGTTCTTACACATACAGGGTATTCAATGTTAAGCATTGATAATAATAATTTGTTCCAAAAACGGACTTTCTAGTTTTTCAATTAGGTTCGGATAAAAAAGTTGGAATATGAAATAGTTAATGACTTTATGGATTAAAATTAGAATTATATCCAGTGTTAAGTATAGGAAAGTGATGTGACATGTGTAGTGAAATTGTGAAACTTAATTTTTTGTTTCATTAAAGATAATTTTAAAATACTATTCATTTTGCTGAAAATGTTTATTTCATATTGTATTAATATTTCAAGGTTAGGACAGTATGGCTGATGTACCTCTATTTTTTTAGATTACCTATTAGTGAACACTCATTGAAAAAAGGGTCCTTGTAATATGAGTTGTAATACCTCATGGGTTGTGTGGAAATAGGTAATCTCAACCGTTTTCATAGGAACAATCTGATAATATTCCAAATCCAGCTTTTATTCATGGCTAGATTCATGGTACCCACTCCAAATATCATTTTCTGCTGCTGTTGCAGCAGTTTCTCAAAGGACATGATGGTCTTAGTTATTTGTTTTACTATAGGTAGGAAAGTAGTAGATGAACTGAGGTGGCTGATAGTTCATAGGGAGACTAGGAATTCAGCCTAGGCAGAAAAAGTTAAATTTCATAGAAAATCCCCTTCCTATGTCATTTGGAGAAAAGTTATTTTTGATGACCAAAGTATTTCGTGCATAAGTTGCAAACAACATTTTTTGTTCAAACATCAAAAGATATTGTTCTAAAACTTAGCATACTATAAAAAACAGTGTTGAACTGGCATAAAAGGCTTTAATTATTGTTGAACTATCTACTTCCTACACGGTTTTACATAGTAATGTAGAAAACTGAGAAAAGTGTCACTCTGCATATTGTTATCAATGCACAAACCTTGTAATTTTTTGACGTTTGTAAAAAAACTTTTTTTGTGTCTCAAGTGACTTTGCAAAGACTATATAAATGGTTTTATTCATTTAATTGAGTGTTTAACTGATTTGGTATTCAATTTGAAATTGATTATTATAAATAAGAATTTGACTCAATCAATTGAAAAATAATGAATTTCAAATTGTGACTGAATATTCAAGAATCAATAATTATTAAACTTGGAATTCAGAATAAACACAGGAGTAGATAAGTTTCCAGCACAACCATAGATGATGACTGGAAGTCTGGGAAGAAGCAAACTTGTTGCACTTTAACTGTATCATATGATAGGCAGCTGATATTACAGTAACTGCATGTGAGTACTTACCAAATACTATGTTGTGACCATCATTTCCAGAATATTCAGGTGGTAACTTTTCTTGATTGATGAAATTTGTGAGAAGACTCCTAACTAGTATAGGAGCATGTATAACATGCCTTCCTTTCATCATCAGTCTGAAAATGGTACTCTGCTCCAACCTTTCTCCAGAATTATGTTGAACAGAAAGGCATACCAACAAGCAAGATATTGCTTCCAAATGTATTAGATAGGTTTTATTTTCAACAGGAATGTCCACAATGATTCCAACAAGTGTGCCAATGAGGGTTTCAAATATATTTTCATTTTCATTCACTTCAATGTGCTTAATAAATTGTATCTCAGTAATTTCTTGTGATAAAAACTTCAGCACACATCTTACAGCAAGAATTGAATTGAAAAGCTGCCATGTGAATATGTTTCTGAAACATAGTAGAGGATAGATCTTTGTGAGAGTAGCTAAAATTCAGGAGTTCTTACGCATCTGTGTTTGCTGCTGATAACAACTCTGAAGATCTGGTGATGAAAATTCGAATCAGAGAATTAAGATTTCCAGTTTTCAAATTATTTTTCAAAAGTTCTTGGCATAAGGGTTCAATCTTTGTTTCAAGAGCTAGCTGATCATCACTGCAAATTAATTAGAGTTTTATCAAATATAAGGAAATTTACTAATCCTACTTACCTGGTGATGGGTGTTACTAATGTAAATGATAAGAATCTATTCCAAAATGGATCATTTATTGATATTGATTCTTTTCCAACAAATCTCATACAATATTCGTTAGAACAAATATCAAAATTTTTGCTTATTGTTTTACCCATTTCATTAACGTAATTCAAACATACTCATACTACTTTTTCCAATTTTCATGTATACTTTAAATTTGTAATTCGTACACATCTTCAACTTTGACACAAGCAAAACATACATAACCAAGTTTTTCTTCTTCTAATTTTAATAAGATTGAATTTACTCAGTCATTGCTCACATTACCTTACTTTCAAGAATTCGTTTTGCCCATCAATCGTATCCACGAATCATTTACGATTCAAACATCAAATTAAGCCTTTTTGCCTCGAAGTCTCAACTACACAAACCGGGTCAACAATAAGTTAACCAAGTCATGGAAACCATCCATCCTTCTCAAAGTGGTCCAGATTTTTTCAAAGGAAAAAAACACAAACGCTAGGTCGGTCGACCACAAAGTTTAATTACAAAAGTTTTTGTGACTAGTTTCGCCTCAAGCAGCCAGTAGAAAAATTGCCGGATTGAATTTTGGCCAAATGACCCTTGCTATTCATATTTCAATTGAATCAATTATGTGATTCCACGTGTCCTCTTATAGGTACTATATATTGTGTCTGAAGATGGCTGCTTGAGCCGAAACTAGTCACAAAACTTTCGTGATTAAACTTTGTGGTCGACCGACTTAGTGTTCGTGTTTTTTTCCTTTGAATAAGTTAACCAGTAAATTTTCCTCGAAGTGTATTCCAAACTATAACGTAACCAGCTCACTGAGGTAGTTCACGGGCGTTCACGGGGTGGTTGAAGTTTTTTTCAGACATCCATTCCTGAACATTCATGGGCGCAGGATGGACATTCATTAAAGCGGCGTTCACAGACAAACTTTTTACGTTTCTTATTCTGATTGGTGAATCAAAATCTGGAATCAAAGTGATGACGTTTTTCTAATGAGGCTTGCCATAAACGGGTGACGTAGGCAAGTAGATATTCAGTAGATCTTCGGTGGCGAAAGCCGTATTGTCTATTGATGATTCCTGAGCTCTCCAGATATTCGATAAGCTCAATATTGATGGCTTTCTCCATCACTTTGGAGATTACTGATAACAGGGCAATGGGCCTGTAGTTGTTGGGCAGGTTCTTGTTCCCTTTTTCGGAGTGAAAACTCCTTCCTCTGGGCAATCGCAAGCATGTACCGAAATTCGCAAAGAAAAAATATTGAGAGGGGAGTCAGATATTCTGATCTCAGATGACTGTATTCTAGCCACTATAGATGGAAAGACACGAAAGACGTGCTTCTAATGTCTAATAGTCATGGATAGCGACTATACTGGTTTGGCAAAGAGAACCCTCAAAACTGAAGATAAAACTGAAATCGAATGTCCTGACGAGATCATCTTCTATAATAAATTCATGGGTGGAGTGGACCTCGCAGATCAAAAAGTATCAATAACCTACGATCTTGATCGCAAATCACCGAAATGGTGGAAGGGTATACTAAATATATAAACTTTCGATGTCAGCAGTTGTCAACTCATGGATCAAATACAATGATGATGTCCAGAATAAAAAAATCCTTTGTTGACTTCTCTGGTACCCTTGGCAAAACAACTCATCGAACTTGGACGATCTGACCTTCAGCTTCGAAAATAATCACATGATCATTTTCAACCATTTCGAATCCATAAATGCAATGAAACAGTTTGTAATGAATATAATAATAATATAATATAAATAAATGATAATCATGCAATGAAGTTATGAGAGATTAATGAATGAACAAATTATATATGGCAACAATAACAGCTGATTTCAGTTAGGATGAATAATAAACGCTCTTTCCAAACTTCTTGCATCCCATCCTCACCATAGATTTTTGAATTTTGAGATGAATCATGCTCATGAAAAGCAACATTTTAACTAATATTATCCAATTTATTATTCAAATCTTCCATTCGGTTTTTCAAATACAAAAGTTTTTCATAGTATTGTTCATCAAAACTATAATTCTTTTGCTCAAAATTGCCTGGGTATTTGCTTCTTCAATTTTCTTGTATTTCTCTAAAAATATTTGCTGATTTCGTTTCAAATCTGAAATAATTTTTAGGTGATAGTTTTGAATTTTGCTACCTCTGACTTTTGTATCTAAATCTTATGGCTATAACTTATTTTCCAACTCTCTATTTTTTCTTCTATTTGTTTCCTGAATTCCTCACTCTCTTCCACTCGTAAACCTTGGATTTTTGAATATTCCTGCTCTAAAGTCTTCTTTCAAAATATGTTCGAGATGAATATCATTATCTGCAAATTTTTCGTTTCTTGTTGGTTCTAAATTGGAATAAGGTTCTTTTCGATACTAGCTCAGTTTATAAAGTGTGGATTCAGCTCTTTCTCTCAATACGATCCTACTCTTCAACATCAAATCTTCCGTTCTGAAGTGTTCCTGATGAAAATGCGTTGAAAAATATTTATCCTACCATGACATTTGAATACCTCGCAAATTTTGTGGCCTGAACCCATATTCCATGCCGGCCGCATCATACTCTGTTTCCATTTTTGTAGAATTAAGTAGGGTACAGATGACAGCTTTTCGCATTTCAGCTTATAGCGCTTCGGATTCTGATTGGTCGCAATGACAGAAAGTTCGTTTCAAGGTCAATAAGCGAAAAAAGTTCGAACAGTTTGAACATTTTATAAAAAAAGCTGATATTTGATATTTTTATTTGTTGATATGCCATGATAGCATAATTCTTAAACTGAATATTTTTATCTCGATTTTTGTTTTGATTCTTTATTCTGGAAAAAAATGGAAAATTTGTTTTATATTGAAGTAAAAGAGACTGCAGTGTCTTTCTTCTCAGTATCAGAAGATTTAAATATCATTACATTTTGTCCTTATGAATTCAAACCTGATAATTATTTCTATAGATGATGAAATCCTTCTTGGATATGTTGAGAACGCTGTCAGACGAGGATATATCCCTGTTGTGGATGATAATTTTTCAGAAATTGTTGTGAAGCGACGAACTGACCTTGCTACCGAAATAGTGATGTCAAACACTCGGTCAAACACTTCAAAATCTGATAAGGGTGACAAAAGTACGAGTTTTGAAGAAACATTAATTCCTTTGGTTTCAAAATATCCACCTTAATATGATTTCACTATTCCCCTACAAAAATGAACTCTCAATATCAGGAACCAAAGTATTATATATTATTTTCTAGTCCGCTCTGAATTCGTTTTTCGCATGTGAAAAGTCCGCTCTGATTCGTTTTTCGCATGTGAACAGTCCGCGCTTTATTATCCATCTTTCCGCTGTAAGTTGTAAGCTGTCATCTGTATCCACCATTACGTTATCCGATGGAAATCCGAATAGAGTGAATTGATTTTCGGGCGTTCTCACAGTTGGAAACTGCACAAACTTCTAATTCCTAATTCTCTCAATTTGTCAAACCATTGTCGGCTAAATGTGAGAAAAAATCAAGTTGCCAGTCCAGCAACTTGATTTTTTCTCACATTTAGCCGACAATAGGTCGCGTGCACGAAGACCGACCCTGGAGGCAAAATAATTGAAACACAACCTCATTCTTCTGTGAATTATTGAAACACAACCTCACTTTTTTATTTGGTTACAGAGGAATCAAAAGGTTGAAATAGTTTTTCCCAATATTTTGGCATACGCATCGTGTTTCTTGCGTTATTCATTGATTCAAGCATGCCTTCGCATTGTGCTGTTGTACAATGCACAAAAAATGCAGCTAGAGACTAGGGAATATGATTTTTCAGGTAAATAGTAATCTCACATAGTTAGCATTATGAAATGTTGTCATTCCTCATTAAAATTCCTTCTGCCTTCTGCCACTTCTGCAATACAAGCTAATGCTGCTAATATATTGAAAATGTCTACAACACACACGATCGTCAGCATGTCAGACCAGTCCTACCGATTGATTGCATGAATCCAATCTTCTTGCATTATTCTAGAAATTTCAGGTATATTTCTATTAGCTGATCCTATTGCAGAAGGAATTCCGATGAGAAATCAGAGAAATAACCAAATTTCAAAAATGAAAACTATGTGAGTGACTATAGTAGGTACTCACTTTTGAATCATAATGTACCATCCGGATTTCTTCATCTTCCGCTGCAGTTTTTGTGCATTTATAACAGCACAATGTGATGGCATTAGCGAATTGATGAATAGCGGAAAAATACGATTCATATGCCAAAATAATTGTGGAAAACTATTTCGATCATTGTAAACAAATATGTTTTGCCTCCAGGGTCAGTCATCTGACAGTTCTTGCACGCGACCTATGGTCAAACTTGGGTCAAACCTTTGAAATTTATGTTATGTACGTCCGTGTACTGTCAGTTCCCGCTTCTTCAATTTATTTGTGGATATGTCTGATTGTCAGTGCTTATTAAATTGTCATAGTGTCAAAACGTCAAAGCAGCAGTGTCAATTGGTGTCAATTACATTTAAGAACTCTAATTTACACATCAATATCAGTTTCTCATTATCTTCCCACATATCATATGCTGAACCCCATCAGCACCCAAACATACGTGCTGATGCTTGAAGAACTTATCTCTGCTTTAAAACGAGTCATACTCCTTGGTGATGCCACACTCACTATAATAATTCCTTGATTAGATTGAGACACCGCATCATCCATAAATAATATCTGCCTTATTCAACATGTGAAAGTTATAGCGTAAAAAGTCATCCATTTGTTCAATAAAAGCGTCCCCTTTCGTGTGAAGTATACCAAAAATAGTATGTGAAAGTATAATAGGGTATATATTCCGAATGCTTGATAAAATACCCTAACTTTGAAGGAATAACGAAGGAAATATCGAATTTAGATGAGTTCTTGCGGTATTTTAAGCAATATCTTTTATTCGAATTTAGCGCCATGTCCATAACCGTTCCGATTGATCTATACAAATCGCTTATACGGAAGTCTGGGCAAAACAAGTTCTCGTAACCTAATGCAACGTTGTATCGTTAATGACGTCGACACGAATGACGCCATTTTGGATGTTTCATTTCTGCAGTGTTGCCAATGAGGCGCAAAAAGCGCAATAATTGCGCTTTTCAACTTGGTTTTGCGCCATTGCGATTTTTCGGGAAAAATTGCGCTTTTTATAACTTGTAAGAGCTGCTTTACAGTTCGCAATTTCCCGAAAAAGACCAGCAGCAATTTTTATTGCGTGCCTACGCACTTGTGCCATTTTGAACAACTGTCGCAATTTTTCGTTGGATTGCAGGAAATGCGATTACGTCCGGACCTATTTTTATTGGAAATATAGGGATCAAATGTTGGATTTTCGGTATTTCCTGCAACATTTATGCATGATTTGATGCATATTGAATATTATTTCTGTTCTCATTGTTTTCTACCAAACACAAGTCCTGATAAGAATTATGACACAGATTTTTTGACAAAAATTACATTGCAAGCTAGATAGTCATTCCGATTCAGTGTAGAATAACCTGATCATCATTATCATAATTGCCGGAAATATGAAATGCAGCAATCAGTTGCATGTAATCAAAAATTGGAAACTGTAAATAAGCGGCAATGAAGACTAACAAGTAAATATGTCTTCCGTAGCTACAATTATTGAGAATGAATTTCACAAATCTCTGACTTGTGTGACAACATTATACATTAGGCAGTAGTAAACTAGCTTCATGAGCAAAATTTTGCGCTTTTTCATTAGATATTGCGCTTTTATGTTGGCAGCATTGCGCTATTTGTTTCGTCAACACCGGCAACACTGCATTTCTGATTAGCTGTCAGTTTGGAAGAGAAAAATACTTTCGGAAAATCGGTAATAGTTTATTCATTAAAAACTGGGTAGTGTTTGAGTTTCGGCAAGTGTTTTGTTGCAAATAATATAGCAACATGACGCAGCAACTTTTACCAATAAAGTTCCAGGAGCAATTACAGGTAAAGTACTAAACGCCCCTCGTCCACTTTGACGTATTTTCATATTGTTCATTAATGATTTCTCGATCGTGTATATAATTTCCTGTTGTACTTCCTTCTTTCAATATACAGATTGTAGTTGTCCCACCTTTAAATGTATGTTTTTTTCATAAGGCTTGCCTGTATCGAAAAATAACCGGTACGTAGGTACCTACTTTGTGGAGGCGTATTGTTGGGATGTCAGGTTCGGGTTTAATGTTCTGATGAGGAGTTCCGAATATTTAAATTATACAGTTCATACCTATTGATATCGTTGATAACGACTTCCAATTCATTTGATTCAAGAACAAGAAATGAAATTGGGTCATTTCTGTTCTGAACAATGAAGTGATGGATTGTGCCGATTTTCATGCTTTCTGATCAATAATTAATTTACACCTATCTGCAATCTATATTCTACATAATATAGTATGGATGTAAAGATAGTGTTTGCCACATTATAGAACACATTCTGCTAGGTTGTATTCCATTCTTAGGGAAGTACCAACATGATTTTCAGTTTGTTGTGAGAATACTTCAAAATTAATCTTCCAGACTGGAATTTGATTGATATTTTTTTCTTTCCTGTTTTATTTCATGACCATACAATTTTATTAACATACTACATACAGGATGAATTTGAAAAATTCCAATTAGATTTGGATTGACAATATATTATACCTGATTATACCTGGTGGCCCACTCCAGAGCTTCCTCCCTATTTATCAACAATTATTAGTAATTTATTTTTTCATATTTTTTGTGATTTTCTCCTTGTTTCTATAAATGAAAATATGAGTATCATTTCAATATACAGGGTTCTCCTGAAATTACACACAAATATTTTAACCACGGGTTCTAGGAACAAAAATAGTTTAAATAAATGTCCAGAAATGGCCTTCTGGGGAGTTGTAGTCTCAGTTATAGATCTGAAGGGGATCTTTTTTTTTTGTAAATATTTTAGAAACCCTCTGTGATACAATAACCAAATTGTGACCTATGTGGAAGCAGCAATGCGACATCATTCAGCAATGAATGAGATCAACACAGGCATGCAGCAGAGAGATTATATCAATAATAATACTATCTCGAATTGAATTAGAAATTGAAATAATATGAATTTGACTTATTGCTCAACAGTACTTTATTACATTAAATCAGAATGAAATATGGTGTTTTCAAAAATAGCAAAACAGAGCTATGTGAATAATATTGGTATGTTCCAGATTAGCATACCAAAGAAGCTAGCAAAAGCCACATTTTTGAATTTTTTGCCCATTTCAAACAAAAAAAAAAACAGGAACCCATATATCAAATCAGTGAATATTAAGTATTTTTAAAAATGGCTCTGCTGAGCTCGCCTGAAGCCAGCAAAGACACAGGTTTCTTTTAAAAATATGTATCAAAAAATCTCAAAATGGGATATATATATTGAGCCTACAATCAATACTAATACTTTGCCTTATAAAATCGTCATAATATATGCTTTTGATAGAAATGCATGATGTATAGTGAATAATGCCTATTTCCACAAATTGTCTTGTATTTTTTCTGTTTGTAAGGTTGAGCAAGAAATTCGAAAATAGGGTAATTAATTAGCCTTATATTAGCCTTTCAATACCAATATATCAAATCGGTGAAAAATTTAATATTTTTAAAAATGGCTCTGCCGAGTTTGCCTGAAGCCAGCAAATCCACAGGTTTGTTTTGAAAAACATCCGGAAAAAAATTCCAAAATGCAAGTCATTGAGCTTACAATCAATACTAACACTATCTCTGGAAAAATCATACTGAAATATGCTTTTGATAGATATGCATAATGTATAGTGAATAAACATGAATTTCTAGGAATCGTTTCGTTTTTATTTTTGCTTGAAACATCCAGCAAAAAATTCGAAAATAGGGTAGTTATTTAACCTAAAATTATCTTTTCAATAAGGACATATCAAATCAGTGAAAATGGCTCTGCTGAGTTCGCCTGGAGCCAGCAAAGCCACAGATTTCTTTTAAAAAATATTTTTATTTTTATTTTTCTTGAAACAGATGTTGAATAGCTTTCTGAACATGATCAGATAGTTTGAATTTTATTTGAAATGAATTTTATTTTCCAGACGTTTTTCGTTCCATATTAGTTCTTAATTGGTTGGTTCTTTTCAATATTCATCCTGTTTTAGGTTGCACTTTCTTTTCTCAATACAATTCTGTTTATTATCAAATCTTCCGGTCTGAGGTACACCTAATAGAAATGCGATAAATAATACTCTATATTCTATAAAAAAAATACCTGAAACATTTTGATGACTGTACCTCTACATCCCACCCGGCCACTTCAATAATAAAAAGTCGTTCAAAATAGTCAGGGAAAATTTATAGGAATTAGGAATTTCTTCAATTATCTTGCAGATGAACTATAGGGCTTTGAAACAATAATTAGAAGACCCTGTAGATGCATGGGATACGATCTTATCATTTTCACTAGAAGAAAACTATATAAATCCACTAGAAGAGAGTGGGAAAATCAAAGTTCATAAAATTAAAACACCATCAATACATTCATTTTTAGATTTCTTGAAAGCAATATGTAGTATAGAATGTATAGATAAGAATTTATATAACAATATTGATATTAATTAATAATAATCATAACAAGAATAACAAGATTCAGTCATTCTGCTGTAGAAACTAATAGTAGGGCTTGTATACCGGGGGTTTTTCAAGAGTGGCCCATCCCTATAACTTTTTTGTTTCTACAGATGAACAAATGAAATTTGGTGTGTAAGTATAGTACATAAATATGCATTATTTGAATTCAATTGTTGCAACAAGATATAACAGGACTGTCTACCCTCAATAACGCTGACAAAAATACATAATTTTTTTCTGAAATTGCTCGAGAATGCCTACTTTCTCGGACCAAACTTAGACCTCTAATACGCTAATCTACTATTTTAGACGGTTGCAACGAAGATCCGTTGAAATTTGTGACAAAGTCGGTCCCTACCGGTTTACCTGGTGAATAGGCGAGTAGGTTAAATTTTTTTTTAGAATTTTTCGGTCGATTTTCAGGTGCTTAGATCATCAATAATGCTACGGTAAATTTCAAACGGATAGAAATTCACCGCGAGTAAAAACTGATGTCACGGTTTCCTAAGTAGGAGCAGACCATAGCACAGTTGTTATGTGTTATTGGTAATATTCCTATTTAGCAATACAAAATCAATTGTCTCAAAATGTTCCCATATGATTTGTGGCTTATTGCTTGTAAAATATTTGTGTAAATAGTAGTTATATTAATTCACACTAGAGGAAATTTGAAGCGGTGAACGTGACAACACCGCGCGCACTACTTGTAGACGTGGTCTTGTCTCTTCTCAGCATTTAGCACAATGTTGCCAAGTCTCCAACGTTTACATGAAATTTTGTTATGGAGTATTAGACATATTTGGACATGCTGGTTGCTCGAAAGAGTCAAGAACGAACTCTTATATCATGGGTTCCTCCCTATTATGTTTTATTCAACGACAGGACTCTACATCTTTTTGATAACTTGATTATAATTGGTGACTTGACAACCTTGCTTCGTGAGTTGAAATGGAAGATTATCTGACCAATAATGAAACAGCATAAAAGCTGATGTCACCATTTATCCGACGAATCGCCAAATAGTGGCCATGATGGTACGTTTGAAATGAGCTCCGAAATTCAACAATTTCGAACAACGCATACACTCATTATTTACCTAAAAAAAGTGTGAGAAGTGTTGCAAAAATTAATTTACGACCCAGTGTAGTAATTGAATGCCGATAATTCATTATAAGTCCACTCGCCCATTGCTTTTATTACTGGATACACAGTGAACTTCTTTCTGGTAGAAAACAGTTAGTAAGATGCCAGGATAAGCTATCTAACATATTGGAATTTCGTAACGGTGTTTCACACGGGTCAGTTCTGGGCCCTCTTCTATTTTTAATTTACATCAATGATTTGACTGAAATACAGTTTCAATTCCATTTATTCAATAAAAACATTTTTACAATACAAGGTGTATAAACAAAAATCTTCTAAAGGGGACATTGGACATGATAAAAATGTAAAACATACAATGTAGAACACTTAGATACGTCACAGAATTACTCTCCAAGGGCCCTCCAAGGGAGCCCTCAGAGGCAGCCGATGCAGGCCTTGCCGATTTGTCTAACAACCCTGATGAAGATTGATCGTCGATTGCTACCTTTTTCTCTCTAATTTAGCATTTTTTGTGTTGGAAAATAAAAATAAAAAACCAACTTTTGAAATTTCTCTGTGAAAGACACTATGAGGGATGAGGGGTGGGATAGGTGTGGGAGAGTGATTGGGATCTTATGATTGGGTTTTAATAGACTGATTTCGTATCGGCAAATATACTAGTTTTGTTAGCCGATAGGCGTGCTAAGTTCTCTTGAGTCCTGGTCTCCATGGTAATGCTCCGATAGTCGTTCAGCCGGGCCACACAACGTTTAGACTATACGGCCCGGCCAAACGACTACCGTTCTCGTTCAATTCAGCTTCCTGACTGAAATACAGTTGCTAGCAAAGTTTGCAGTATTTGCTGATGATACCACCCTCTTAAGGAGCGGCAAAGATGGTAGAGAACTAAATGACCTCACTAAAATAAAATTGTGGTGTGAATGTAATTCATTGTATTCATTGTGCTTTAATGTTAGCAGAACTAATATCCCCAGTTTCAGGTTTGCTTCGGGTAATGTAGTTCTTGAAAACAGTGAGGTTGAAAACAAGAACTGTACAACATTTTCATGCTTGATCGTTGACGAAAGATTGAAACTCACTGAATACATTACTCACTTATGTAAACATTTCTCTAGGGGATGCTATGACGTCAGAGTAGAATCAAAGGAATCATGACATCAAATTGCTCGGACTATATATTTTTCTTTGATTCAATCATATCTTCGCTACGGGTCAGCGTTCTGGGGTTATTGTAC